GAATACGGAATCCCAAGAGAAAATATACGAGATATCCTCAAAAAAGGTAAGTAATTGTGTTTCACAACTAGAATATTGATCTGAAATAAGAGTAAATAATGAAAATTCTTGATTTCCATTTCTGTTGCTGAAAAACTGAAATAAAAATTATTGAGTAAACGAATTACATTTTAACTTTGTATATCTTATACTTCATAGACACCTGTCCTCAATGAAGCTACTGATTTGGTGAGTTAAAGTAAAACAAAAATCTTTGTCAGAACTCAATATAATAAACAAAACAACCATTTAATAAAAATATTCTGTGTGGAGAAATAGGAACAGTTATATGTTGGGAAAACTTTTGCAATAATACAAAAAAGAAACAATACCAATACATATGCAAAACAAAAATTGTACCTGAAATCATTTAGAAAATATCCCTACATATTTTAAAGTTCATAGAGTTGTATAGTCTCCTTTATTTATTATGTATGAGGTGTAAATAGAAAAATAAAATTCACTTCATTTCTAGGCAAAGGAAAAAATATTGTGAGCAATGAATCATTAAATATGACTAACATCAGATTAAGTCTTGAATATGCTACAGCGACTGGACATAATAATTCACAATCTAAAGGGGATTTGAATTGATCAAGCTTCCATATTTATTTTTCTGTACTAAATTTTATTGTTAACATAAAAATGCAAACTCCAGCACTTGATAAAATAAGGTTTCTTATGTCTAAAGTCATCATAATTCTGCAAATATTAAATCCACTCATTTATCTCTAATTTAGTTCCTATGATCAAAATTCTGCTTAAGAATTCCATTATTCTGCACCTCATCTCAAACATGCATTACTATATGTTCTATAAAATTTACTGTATTCATTCACATTTAATTTATTTCCATTAATTTTTCATTATTATTATTTTATTTTATTTTACAATACTATTCAGTTCTTCATAACAGCAACAGATTCCCTTGTTCTCTCCCTTCCTGCACCCCTCCCCTTCCCCCCAGCCCATTCCCCATTCCCACCTCCTCCAGATCAAGGTCTCCCCCGAGGACTGGGATCGACCTGATAGACTCAGTCCAGGCAGGTCCAGTCCCCTCCTCCCAGACTGAGCCAAGCGTCCCTGCATAAGCCCCAAACAGCTAACTCATGCAATGAGCCCAGGACCTGGTACCACTGCCTGGATGCCTCCGAAATCAACTAACTGTCTCATCTATTCAGAGGGCATGATCCAGTTGAGGGTCCCTCAGACTTTGGTTCATAGCTCACAAAGATACCCCCACAAAAGACTGCTGGCAATGTTCGAGAGACAGCCGGGACTGACCTACTCTGATGATGCGATGGCCAAACACCTTAATAGTTGTGCCAAAAACCCCATTCAAGCACTGAGGAATCTGGATGCATACATCCATGGCTAGGCCCTGGGAGGAGCGCTGGGAGTCTAATTATAGCGAGAAAGAGGAGGGTTTATATGAGAGAGAATTGTTGAAACCAAGGTTGGATAAAGCACAGGGACAAATAGCCAAACAAATGGAAACACATGAACTATGATCCATTAATTTTTCTAATTTGATATTTGTACTTTCACAGGTTTCAAGATTGAGACAACTTGCTACATATCTGCCCATGGTATCTAATTCACAAATTTAAAGGTGGACGCATCTTTATCTCCCAATTGTGCATTCACCTTTCTCGTGGTGTTCAGATTCTTCACACTGTTCTTTCCTCAAGTTTCTTCCCTTGACCTGTTTACTAGAATTTTGTTTCTCTGTGAATCAGTGAATAAATTTCGTCTTCTGGCATAAACTTTTTAAAAATCTACTGCGTTATTTTGATCTTCAGTATGGAACTCATTTTTTGTATGAATGTGTGTATAGAGTGATTTGTTTGTAGAGTCTTTGTGTGCATATATATCAAGGTCTTTGTGTGCAGTGCAAGCATAAAATTTGGGATTGAGTTCCTCCTACCCACCTTCACCTGGGTGCTAGGCATTAAAATCAGATCGTCAAACTTAAAAATCCAAAGCTTTTCCTGGGCAGTGTTAGGACACGCCTTTAATCCCAGCACTCAGAAGGTAGAACCAGGAGGATCTCTGTGAGTTCAATGCCAGCCTGGTCTACAGAGTGAGATCCAGGACAGGCACCAAAACATCACTGAGAAACCCTGCCTCGAAAAACAAACAAACAAACAAAAGAATCCAAACCTTTACACACTGGACAATCTTCTTGGTCTTATGTCACATTTTAATTCAAACAAATTTTCTGACTAACTTAGCCATGCACAATATTGGCTGCACTACAATATTTACATGGAAAATTGTGTGTGTGTGTGTGTGTGTGTTTCGTGAAAAATTCATATCAAATGAACTTCCAAACTTAAATTTGCTCACTTTTAAAGACTTCAAATTAAAATGAAAATCAATTGAAGGCTTAGTGCCTGACACTAATAGAATAAAGCTATCTGATTTGATCCAGCAAAACAGGGTCTGTGTTCCATGAACGCATGATGAAATATTTTGTAACCATGACAACTAAATGGAAGAAGTAAAATATTTAAAACAGGAGTCATGGGTTGCACTTAGGGTCTAATATTTCCTAAGTAATGAGCTCTAGCCCAGGATTACAGAAACTGACATGTAGTTATTCCTGCAGATGTGGCCTCAAATCCAATTAGAAAATGATAGGTTTCTATGATATCTATGATATCAAGATTTCTATGATAAAATCCAAATATTACAAAACTAAGTGCATCTTGTCAGGGGTGAGTGTAGTAGCATTCAGAATCAAGTGCTAAGTATGACCATGGATTTCCTTCCTACTCTTAAGTAATGTTATATACCTTCTAATGTGATGTTATCTAGCAATCTCATGGATGTCTATCAACTTTCTCCAATTTTGATTATTTTGGGGTCAATATTTACTTCTCTTCCTTCCCACAGACCCCCAACTTCTGCATAAAATTTCAGTAGATGATTATCAACTACACTTCTTATCTGTTGTATATTACTATGTCCATTAACTGAATGAGTTTTGTGGCTTAATGATGGTAGATTTTCTTCATTCTCCCTCATACATTCAATATGTTGGTTAATTAATCAATGGGCATTTCATTTCCCCTTTCACATTGTTAATTCAACACTCTAACACTGCATTTTATTTTCTAATGCCAATATTTTTCTTTGTCTACTGTTCCCTGTCTACAGTGCTGTTTGGTTCCCTATGTGTTAAGCTACTTACCCTCAGTGGACAGTTTGTAGAGGAGACTCATTTTAACTCCAGAATAAATATGCAAAATAAAAATGCTGATACCTAGTGTCTACATAGGAGAACTTTATCTATAATTAGAGTAGCTCACAAGTCCGTAGTCAAGGATATTCTTATTTGGGTTTCACTCAATAGTAATTGCAAACAGAAATTTTAATTTGACATGACAATGATTATTATCAGTCTTAATTGATATTTTAAATGATATGTCATTTTTTTAAGAGGGCACAAACTCAAAGGCATTTGACTAAATATATCTTCTCATCTTGACTCAGCCCACAAGACATTGAGTAATAAAGAAATTTCATAAGGATCTTCTGAAAGGCATCTATGGAATCACACTACAGTCTGGGGTACTATTTTTCTTGATCCCGAGAATGTTGAGAAAATTAACCAACTTCAACAGAAATAAGTACTGTTTTTATCCAGTTTCTGGCATGAGCCCTCCTAAAATTCCTCAAAGAACTCTTTTGAAACCTCTTTGAGGACCTCACTACCAATGTTTTGTAGCTTTTGTATTTTGGTCATTAGTATTCAATGCAATTTAAACAAAAGCATTCGTGCTACAGTGTTTTGTAAATGAGGGCTGAAAGTTGCCACATTGTTCGTAATTCTCAGGAAGCTGATGGATATAACACATTATAAAAGAGGGTTTATTAGATGGATCAGTCAACTTGTGTTTGGTTAGTTTGAAGTACTCTGCCTGGAGGAAGTTTTGGTCTTTTGAAGACCTCGTAAGTGCCATAAAAAACAATACAATGGTAAGCGGCCATTTCATAATCATGTGCCTTTTCCATTTGCGTAAGATATGTGTATGCTTCCCTTTCAGGCTCTCCTTGCCCTTCTAATGACTGAGGAGCCTCTCTTTTCCTCATTTGACATAACACTGTTTGGATGAGGAATGTTAGTTTACCAGGTTTGTGTGGTAAACTCTTTTTTTTTTTCATTTTTTTTGTATTTATTTTACAATACTATTCAGTTCTACATAACAGCCACAGATTCCCTTGTTCTCTCCCTTCCTGCCCCCCTCCCCTACCCCCAGCCCATTCCCCATTCCCACCTCTTCCAGATCAAGGTCTCCCCCGAGAACTGGGATCGACCTGATAGACTCAGTCCAGGCAGGTCCAGTCCCCTCCTCCCAGATTGAGCCAAGCGTCCCTGCATAAGTCCCAGGTTTCAAACATCTAACTCATGCAATGAGCACAGGACCTGGTACCACTGCCTAGATGCCTCCAAAACAGATCAAGCCAATCGATTGTCTCACCTATTCAGAGGGTCTGATCCAGTTGGGGGCCCCTCAGCCTTTGGTTCCTCCATTCATTTCGTTATTTGTCCCTGTGATTTATCCAACCTTGTTTTCAACAATTCTCGCTCATATAAACCCTCCTCTTTCTCAATAATTAGACTCCCAGCGCTCCACCAGGGGCCTAGCTGTGGATGTCTGCATCCAGATTCCTCAGTCCTTGGATGGGTTTATGGCACAACTATTAGGGTGTTTGGCCATCCCATCACCAGAGTAGGTTAGTCACAGCTGTCTCTCGACCAATGCCAGCAGTCCTTTGTGGGGGTATCTTTGTGGATTTCTGTGGGCCTCTTATAGCACTTTGTTTCTTCCTTTTCTCATGTGGTCTTCATTTACCATGGTCTCCTATTCCTTGTTCTCCCTCTCTTTTCTTGATCCAGCTAGGAT